CCTATATATATACCATAATTTCTATTAAAGGCAAAAAGTTGGGGCGGGGGTTGTGGCTCAGCGGTAGAGTGCTTGCCTAGCACGTGCAAGGACTTGGGTTCTATCCTCAGCACTACATAAAAATAAATAAATAAAAATATTGTGACCAACTAAAAAATAAATATTAAAAAAAAGCAAAAAAGTATTCAGTTTGCTTTTTTCTACCAGTTTTCCAGGTAACCAACCCTCTAAATAAAAGTTATATCAAAATTTTATCACTTAAAATGATAATTATTACTTTTGATTTTGTGGCTTGGCTGGGTAGGGCTTCTGTGGGTCTTGCTTAGGCTTGGTCTTGCAGCTGAGACTAAGTGGCAATTGAGCTGTGATGTATCAGATGGCACAGCCTCTCTTTCCTTGTGTCCTTTCATCCTCTAAGGGTCTGGCCTGGCAGTTTGCTTGTGTTTCAGGGTTCCAGCAGCAAGAGAGGGCTGTTGCATAGGCACTTTTAAGTCTTCTGGACACATCTGCTAAATCCAGAATGAGTGGGGATTGGGGGACTATCCAGGGCATGGACAGAAAGAGATGAGAACAAATTTGGGCTGTTATTGTTACTGTTCATCAAAAGGATGTTTAACTATCTTTGAATAGAAATACCAATATTTCTTAGGAATGTGTACAACCAAAGAGTAGAATTCATGTAGATCAGTGCTGCTGAATGGAGGTATGTGTCATTACATATGTGCTGTGGTTTGGATGTGGTTTGAATGAGTCCCCCTAACCTTCATGTGCTGGAAGCTTGGTCCCAGTGTGGTGGTGTTGAGATGGTAGACTCTTTAAGAGGTGGGGCCTAGTGCAAAATGATTAGACCTTTGCGAACATTCTCAAAGAAGGGATTATTAATGCTGATCTCACAGAGTGGATTGTTCTCATGAGAGTGAGTTGTTAGACTGGGGCAGATGTAGCTCAGTGGTAAGAGTTCTTGCCTAGTATGTATGAAGTCCTGGGTTCAAACCCTAGGCCTCCTTTCTCCAAAGACCATTTGAAAATATAAATATAAATATATATATATAAAAGAAAAAATGAACCTGGTCAGGTATGGTGGGATGAGCTTGCAGTCCTAGCACTTGAGAAGCTGCGGCAGGAAGATTGATTGACTGACACCTTTGAGACAACTTGGGCCATATCTACAAAGGAAGGGAAGGGAAGGGAGAGCCTGGCTCCTCTCTGATCTCTTGCTTCCTGACTCATCATGTAATATTTTTTCTCTTCTGCTCCTGCTCATGCTCACCATGAGGCCAACTCCCATACTGTGATGTAGACAGGAGGTCCTCACCAGGGCTGAGCAGGTGCTGGTGCAAAGGCTGTGGACCACCAAATCTGGAAGCTAAAAAAAACTTTTCTGTATAAGTATCCGGCCTCAGGTATTTTGTTATAGAAACACAAGATGGACACAGTATATAGTATAGTATATAGTATAATAGTTTATAACTCTAATGTAAAATTTCTTTGTAGCCACATTTAAAAAGGTGAAAAGAAACATATGAATTTAATTGTAGTACTATATTTTATTTAATCCAATATATCCCAAGGAGTATCTTCTCAACATATACTCAATATAAAAATTATTGATGAGAGGTTTTGCATATTTTTGGTACTCAGTCTTTAAAAACTAATGTATTTTACACTTAGTACACACATCAATTCAGACTTGCCACACTCTGGACATTCAGTAGCTTCATGTGACTAGTCGCCAGTGTGTTGAGCAACACAGATCAAGATGCTAACAGGTGAGGAAGAAAGAGAAATGGAACTCATTGATGAACTATGCAGAACAGTCACTCCCTCCCCACTGGGACTATCCATCTGGCAGTAGAGAATGGGAGGTGGAGGAGGGTGCTTTGTATAAGAAATAGAATGAGCACTCAGTAGTAGGAAATTGATAAATATAAACCACTATATTAATAAATCAAATGAAAACAAATACTCATTCTAAAATATCCCTTTTTTTTTTTGGTTAGCGTTCAACATGAATTACTGATTGAAACAAACAACAACCACCACCCAAACCTGTAGTGAAATAAAATACAGTCATTCAACATTAACACTGGGGACAAGATCTGAGGGATATATCATTAGGTAACTTCATCATTGTGTCAACTTCACAGAGTATACTCACACCAAACAAAACACCTATGATGTCACTAGGCTACATAATGTAATGTGATCGTCGTCATACATGTGGTTTGTCTCTGACACAAATGCCATTATGTGGCTCATGACTATTGACATTTCCTCAGTGGTAAAGAATATCTGCTTAAATCAATACTCAACATTTGAAGTGGTGAAACAGCAAAACCATTCCTAGTAAGTTCAGAACTATGTTTTAATATTCACCAAGAAGGGCCAAGCCATGCAATTAGATGAGAACATATAATTAAGTGTAAACATATTGGCAGAAAGAGGCAAAACCAAAAATAATAATAATAAAAAAAGAAGTCCCATTCACAGGAGCAGCGACAACAAAATTAAATTCTAGAGTGTATGTGAAGTTGTGGCAGATTAAAAACGACTACATGTTCTTTACTCCTTTGTTTGCAAGAGGTAGAGTCTAATTTCCTCTCTCATTAACTAACTGTGGCCAATGGGAATCTAGCACGTGTGACATAAGCAGAAACTTGATAGTTGCCTGTGTACAGGAGTTTGTCCAAGTAAGTAAGCTTGTCTTGTGTCCGGAGGAAGAGAAGACTCTTGGAAGAGAACCAAAGTACCCAGCTGACAGCTTGTGCCAAGTCCTCTGGCAGGTGCCAAGTTCATCCTGAACCTTCCATCTCAGCCAATTGAGTATAATCACACCCAAGTGCCTGGACAAGACTAGTGGGGGCATGTTAGTCTTTTCTATGAAGAAAAACTATCAGCCAGCTACCCATTCTTGGGAGTTGTCACGCAGCAATAATTAACTGATACACAAGTCAACTGCTTTAGAATCCTAGAGTTGTCGTCAATCTTTTAGAAATCATCCAACAGTGATTTCTTGTAACGGATACTGGAAACTAGGAGCAGAGAGGGTCATCGAGGGCTGACCTATCCAGGATGTCCAGAGTTGGCCTCCATCTGTGCAATGATGTATGAGTTCTTTCACTGAAGCATAACTTAAGCACTCACTGAGCTTAGGGCAGGTGAAAAGAAAGGAAACTGGCTCAGTTTAGAGGGGGAGACAGACATTTTAAATACTGTCACGATACCAAGAGATAAACACTACAATAAAAGTATTGCAGGGTGCTATTTCCAGGGATTACAGGACCAAAATGAGAAGGTCATAGAAGTGATATTTATACTGGGTCATAAAGGATTAGCAAGATTTTTGAGGCAGAGACAAAGGGGCTCAGGAATGCTTGCATGTAAGTCAAGTCTGGGAAATTGTTGGAGCTCTGGAGCAGCCAGGCTATGGGAGGAATTGATTTGATTTGACTTTTGTCTTTTGTGGACTTTATTCTGAAAATCCACTCAGGAATGCCTTCCTCTACAGAATCCTGATTTCAGCTACCTCTTCACACAACCTTTCCCCCCCCAGAAATTCCAACTGGGAACTATTAAGTTGAAAATGACAAATTCAGGATTTTCCCTTGGTCTCCTTTCTGCTGTTCTCTCTGTAATATGTCCTTAGTGTCACTGCAGATTAGTTTTATCCAAATAGGTTCCCATAAGTCCCCAGGTGACATCTGGGTGAAGGGGCCTGTACTAGTGACATGAACTGAAGGAACTCCTTCCTGGCAGAAGATGCAATAAGAAAATCCTACTAGTTTATAACTGGTTTCCTTCACCACATACCCTTTGCCCTTAAAATAGACCATTTCACTTCCTTATGGCACATCGGAATATCATTTATTACAATTTGGCTCAGAATTGAGTGCTCTTCATTATCTGTCTATGTAACCAAAGAAAGGTGGGGTTTTTTTTTTTTTGAGAGTTTTAACATTCCAATCCATCATCTGGCTATTTTTTTTTTTATCCTTGGAGGTAAATAGAAAAAAAAGGTATCAAACATTGCTTTTATTTTTACTAGCTCACATCCTCATTCAGAGGTTGCGCTGTGGACAATATTAAGAAAATCAAGTTCTTTTCAAAACACTTTGCTCTTGGTGAATGCGGATATAAATATCTCTTTTTAAAAAAAAGAATGGACTGTAGTGTTTTCGGTGCTCAAGGCAAAATCGAATGGAATGTCAGGTCAAGTCACTTGAAAGTAAAACAGGACCTAAAACCATCTTATCTCCTTGTTTTGTGACATGCTTCGTTCTTCTCAAGTCGATGATTATTTTCATACTTCTTTTTAGTTCAGTTTCATTGGTATGCCTTTAAAATTATACCCCTGGTCTCTTTGATTTTTGAGTTGCATAACCTGCCCTCCCCTTCAGACACACATAGTTATGCTGCCCTATATCTGCTGGACCTTTGGGAGGAATACGGCTAGCCACAGTGGGGAAGCCCTTTTCCTGGAAAGAAGGGAGAACAGGAGATGCCAGTTAATGAGCCTCTACCAAGTAGATAGAGAAGGGATCCAGGTGGAGGAGAGTAGGAGAAAAATCATGGAGGGTCAGTGGTTTAATCCTCAATGGACCCAAACCATTGGGGACCATCAAGTGTAGTCTTGGAGAAGAGCAAAGTGGACGTGGTGAGTGAAGGGGTGGATCAGCCTGGTGACTGGGTGAATGGCAGAAACCACAGCTCAGAGCGAGAGGGTGAGAAGAGGGGTGTTGGTGGACGGGAGTGGATGACCTTGACTTTGATGGTTTGGAGAGATCAGAGAGAAGCACTCCACGGATGACTCTGAGATCTGGTAGATCTGATGTCTTTTGCTGGGTTGCTTCTTGGGTCTGCTCACATTCACAGACTCTCCTCCACCCACCTGGGTGCTCTTTCCTCCCCTTGATTCAGTGTCGCTTTCCACCTACAACAGTGACAATTTCACATTGCTTTTTTCCTCTTACTTCTTCTTTTGGTTGGAATGTACTCATCCCATGTTTAAAGTGAAAGTGAACAGGATGTCAGGTCAACCCACTTGAAAATAAAACAGACCATCTGTCATAGAATATTTTTACCAAGAAAGTATAGCTGTCATTCCTCCTATTCGCCTATCTCTCTTGCTCTGTTTTTGTCTCTATAACTGTATGTCATAGTTTATCCACTCCCATCTTCTGTTCCAATATTCTTTTCCCATTTAGAGTGAAGCAGTGACTATTCTGACCCTTTCCCTGGTCATCTTCAGAGTATTGGTTGTGTATTTAGCATGGTCAATTACCTACCATCTGCCTAGGAGGCAGTGATGGAGGAAATTAACTTTGCCTCTCCCCAACAACCCCCTGAAACTCTTGGGCACTCCAATTAACGACAGTCCCACCCCCAGAGTTTGAAACAGAAAGATACATGAAAATATCCCAGGAATACCTTAGCCAAAGATGTCAGTAATGAAAGTATCCCAGGAATACCTTAGCCAAAGATGTCAGTAAAAAAATTCTGCTTCCTATTGCAGCACTTACCTGTGGGTAACTAATAGGTCTCCATGAATACGTGTTGATGAACTATATCTAAATTATTAAAAAGTATTGCTCAATTCCATGACTCCTCCTTTTCATTACAAACCACTGTTGCAACAAAATAATCATGTCAGTCTTGATTTCCAAACTAATTTGTACCATGCTGAAAGTTCATGATGACTCACAGATATTTGGAGTATCACAGCCAAAATTAAAGAAGTCCTCACAGAGAATACCTCAAGCCAGAAAACACATGCTCATTAAAATAGATTCTAATAATATGCCATCTACGTTCAGTGGATAGGACTGTTGGAGGTACTTTTTGTAATTAGTTTGTATTACTGACATACAATACAAAGATTTGAATTTCTACATAATGACATGATTGTTAGCTATTTCTTACAATGCTGTGATGATGTTTTTCATTGTGTTTTGTTTGTTTGTTTGTTTGCCAGTTCTGAGGATGGAACCCAGCGCCTTGTGCATGCTAGATGCTAGGCAATTGCTCTAACCACTAAGCTGCACCCCTGCCCCTCAATGTTATTTTAATGAGATTCAAGTGAATCAGGTTACCCGTTTGTGGTTAGGCATCAGATCAGTACACCTGAGGCAGATTAAAGTTTGTCTACATTATTTCCCCTTGATGAACTTTCCGGATTTCCACTACCCAATGACGGGGACCTGACAACCATTTCTTTCTGAGTTAAGATCCTGTCAGATGAAAAAGCCATTTGGATAGAAAACCACTGCAGGAGCAAAACACAGTGGATGCTCCTGGGACTGGGGCTGAACTGGAGTTTCTTATTCACTATTTACTTTTGTCCCCATAATGAAAAACCACCATCTTAAAGCCAATTTTAGGGTTGAGAGTGGAGTTTCAGGTTGTAGGTACAGTTAAAGGTTTGGGGTGGATTTTAGCCATCATTCTGTCCATGATGGAATGGGGCTGCTGCATCTTTCATGAGGAAACAGTGATTGCTACCATCTCCTGGGCACCTACGAGGGGACAGCCATTGTGCAACATACCTAGCTCACATTTGCTTCTGTTCTTTTGTACCAGGATGTGAAATGTGACTTTTCCTGTACCGTCCGTGTTTGGCACAGGCTTCATCTCTTGAGAACAGCAGGAGCCAGACCATCTATGCAGAACCAGTTCTTCCACCACCATCCTGGCCCATCACTCACCTCCAAAGTTCCCTAGGAGAAAGTGGAAAAATTCCTTAAGAAGTGGTGGGCAGAGCAGATTCCTTCCCATGTATCTGCTCCTCCTCCACTGGTGAGCCCCCCTTCCCAAGGCCCTGCATGCAAGTTGGACTTTAAGGGACTCTCTCAAGTAGAATGCAATTTGGGTTCTTTATCAACTCTGCCTCATCTGCTTTCCTATAGAATTGTTCTTCTCTGTCCTTGCATATAGTTCTGATTGAGTTCATAGCATTTCTTGTCCCTTCCAGATATCAAAAGGGCCCAGATGGTCCAATATCACCATGCCAACATACCGGCCTTACGACATTCTTTCTTAGGTTCTTCCTGCCCTCAGCTAGGGGCCCAACAGTGTGGCTAGGCCACAGTGACATCTTGCTTCTCTATTTTTTTTTTCCTACTCCCATGTTTCTTTGGGACTCAAGAAAAGATGGGGAGAAGAGTTGAGGGGTTGAAAGGATTTATCCAACTGAGACATTTATAATTTACTGGCTTCAGCACAAAAGGTGGCTAATTCTTTGTCTTTTGGGGCCCTCTTGTGGGAATGGTGGAGACGGCCAATAGGCATAGCCAATGGTGGCCCCTTCTGACTCCCACCCACTGGGACTCCCTGAGCTCAGGATTGCTGCAGCCACTGTCCTTTCCTCCCCAGCTGGTCTTCTGGGTTGTAGTCTCATTCTTTCTTTCAGCTGAAACCAAGGTTGCTGCCCTTCCACTGGGTGCCCTCTGGGCCTCGGGAGCCACCCGCCCCCATGATGCCTTCCATGCAGTGCCCCCGGCTTCCACTGCAGGCCCTTCCTGTCCTCCCTCTGCCTTCAGGAAGCTCAACCACAGGCTCAGACTTTTAGTCCTTTGATAAAATAAGCAGGCGTGGGTGCCAGTCTTTGTGCTTCGGGTTTTCTAATAGTTTCTTGGTTCTCTCTCTCCCATTTGGTCTGAAGCTGGTGAGTTGTAGAGGAGGGAGCCCTTTTCCCCTTCCGGCGGAAGGGGATTGCATAGCACCCCATAACTCTCTACCAGGCTCTCTAGTGAACTTTTGACTTCCTCTTCTGAATTTTGAGGAGAGTGGTGGAGTAACAGGGTAACATTGGCAATTGGGGTTGGGAATAACTCTTCAGGTCTTGCAGAAATGACCGACAGCCTGGTTGGGAACGTGAGGTACTTGATACTTCTGGGGTTCTCAGTTTTGGGGTCCTTGACTTCTCCTTAAGTTAACCGGTGGATTGAGGAGTTACTATTTTCTTTTTACAAATATTGAAACTGACCTTCAGAAAGATTCAATAGGTTGTCCAAGTTTGTAGGACCAACCCATAATGAAAGGGAACTCTGCCTAATTGCCTTCTCATCATTTCAGACTCCAGTGAGTTTACAAAGTGTTGAGGGGGAGGGAAGGGAGATATGACTTGGGCTCAGTCAGCAGTTTTATTGCTGTAATGGGAAACCATGTTCCAGAACACAGCTTCACACCCGCTTCACACCTGGCCTGGCCTGTGATTCACGGTTGAGGCTGAAGTTGTATTTCTTATAAAACTCAAGGTTATATGGACCTTTCTGATTCCCAGAATTTGGAACAAAGATTCAGGATAACCCACACTCTCCAAAATCTATTTTCCCATCTGAATAGATAAATAGGGTTAGTGCAGAAAGTGGGGAATGACCCTACTATTAAAATCTTTGGAGAATAAGAAATACAAAGGTAGTATGAAGCTTACAACATTTGTTACCTTTTCTTCTTGCATGGATCTTGTGTAATGTTGGCCTTTGGAGCCAGTTGATTTTTTGGTTGACACTCATATTAATTTACTAGGGCTGCTGTCCACCAGAGTGACATAAACTGGGTAGCTTAGTGCAACAGATATCGGTTCTCTGACGGTTGTGGAGGCCAGAAGTCAGAAACCCAGCTGTCATCAGAGCCTGCTTTCTCCAAAGGCTCAAGGGAAGGATCCTTCCTTGACTCTACAGCTCCTTGTGGCCTCAGGCATTCTCTGGCTTGTGGCAATTTCATTCCAATCTCTCGTTCCATGGTTATATCACCCTCTCTATCTGTCTCTGAATTCCTATCTTTAGAAGAAGAGTGCTCATACTGGATTAAGAACCCACCCTACTCCAATATAACATTGTCTTAACTTAGTTAATTAGATCTGCAGGGAACCTATTTCCAAATGAGTTCACATTCTGAGGTCCTGGGAATTAGCATTTCGTATGTGTTTTTTGAAGGGGACATAATTCAACTCTTAACAACAATATTCCATCTACAACAATATTTCCATCTACCTGGAAGCAGAAGCCCCACACCTCCAAAAGGCACTTTCATAAAGAAAGCTAAGATTATCTTTGAAGTCTGTCTTCTTTTTTCAATGGGATTTGGAACCATTTCCACCACTCAACAACCTGGTATTCTCAAATCTCTCTACTGGGACATGAGGAATTTCACACATCCATCCATACAAGATAGGTCAAATATTGCTAGCCCAGAGTTGTTTGACAGTTCCCTCTCCTAGAACCTTTACTTTTTAAATGTTGACAATTTCACTGGAGTGGAAAGAATTTCAGGATAGGACACGTGGAGAAAGAGAGAAAGGAGCAGAAATGATCGAGAGGAAGTTGTCCAGGATGCTACTGCTGTGGGAATATGCTAGAAACATGTCGCTGATGGCCTTGGCTCTCTCTGCATTGCTTCTTAGAGAAATAGCAAAGTGGTCCTGACCATTCTTTAAGTTCGAGCTGCATAAAAGTACTCCTGGCTGTCAGCCCCTGAAGACGACTACTGAGATGCACACCAGAAAGCTATACAAAGCAGTTAGAACTGTGTTCTCAATCCCAGTGGCTCAGGAGGCTGAGGCATGAGGATCATGACTTCAAAGCCAACCTCAGCCATTTAGCAAGCCCCTAAGCAACTCAGTGAGACCCTGTCTCTAAATAAAATACAAAAAAAAAAAAGGGCTAGGGATGTGGCTCAGTGGTTAAGTGCCCCTGAGTTCAATTCCCAGTACCCAAAACAAACAAAATGAAACAGTGTTCTCATCCAGAAACCAGCCAAGGGAAATCTGGCGTCCACAACCAACTGCAATTCTAGCACCAAGAATTTGTGGCAGAGTGCATTCTCCAAGAATAACTGACTAGGTTCATTATCTAAAACTAATGAACGTGTTGTTTTTATATGTTGTATATTTACATATTATACATAATTTAACATATTTTATCTAAATTTAAAACTAATATAGCTATAGTATGTGATATGTACATTGTATTCTAAATGGTACATATAATCATACATGTAGTATTTAATATAAAATAGTTATAAAAACTTTCAATAAGTTTTTTTTTAAAAAAAAAACTATAATTCTAGAATAATTCCAAATGAATGAGAATGCCATTATCCTCAGTGTATAAAATGAACTGATTGCTTTGTGAACAGATTCAAGAAGAGTCTTCTCAGTCCGTGACAAGTAGGTTACAGTTGGTGCCACTGCTGCCTTGTCAGGGTTTCTCTGGGCTCATTCTCATAGGTTCTCCATGGGAACAACACAGCCAGAGCCTTGGGGACTTCATGCCCACCATTCTGCCTCTATAGGAGTAATTCCTGGCACAGAGAGATAGCTTAATAAACATCTATCTTAATGGATCTGAGTATATCCCTTTCAAAGGGCAATCTGTCACAGTTAGAGACAAAATTTGACTTTTTATTAGACTGTGCCAGCCTTGCTAGGTCTTGAAATCTTGTGTAGCAGTAAGGTGAACAATTCTAAGAGTTAAAGCAGGGCAGAGCAGGGATATAGCTCGGTGGTAGAGAGTATGGACAGCATGCGTGAGGCCCTGGGTTTGATGTACAGAACCACAAAAACAAAACAAAACTTAGAGCAGCAATAGCAACCTAAAATAGTCATTTTGTAAGATTTGAGAGGTACAGCCTGTAGGAGGTATGCTGGCTGAATAATGACTAAAAGTGACGAAAAGCTTCCTGTGTTTAATTAAAGATTCTAAGTCATCAAGTAACATGAAGATAAAAATAAGGCCATTATACAAATGTGTCATTTCCTTAAGCAGGAAAACAAAAGTACTTAGCCTCTGCTTTTGTGTTTTAGTTGAAAGAGGAAACAGAAGGAGTCTAGTGGAAATCATTCAGGTCTTGTATGATATTTGCATTTATTTGCTGTTGGTTAATTTTTAAACATTTTGATGTGTGAGAAATGAACTCTTCTGTTTTTAATTTTCTCGCATGTTAAAGACAACCATAGCATTGTGTGATACTATAAGAACTGAAATTATCATCCTTGCCAAGCTCCCCCAGCCTTCACCCCACTCCACCTCTTGACCAATCTTCCTTTTCCTCCCTGGCCCATCTTCCGTGAGTTACCCAGACAAAAATCCAGAAATCATCCTTGACTCCTTTCTTTTCCTTTCCATAAACAATCCATCCGATTATTTCTGCAAAGCTTCCTAAATGTATCTTGAATCCAACCACTTTTACCATCTGCATGGCACTAATATTATTGGCAGTCCACACCACCACCATCATTCGCCGGGATTCCTATGGGTCTCTTGTACCCTAGTGGCCCATTATCCAAAGAGAAGCTAGATTATCTTCCAAAAGCATAAATCAGATCCTTGAAAACCCTCAGAAACTCTTAATGCCTTTAGAATACAACTTCCTCGGCCTGGCTTCAGTTCCATTGGGATCTGCCCCAACTTGCTCTCCAATAGTATGATTCTATCTTTCTTGTTGTCCATCGTGGTCCATTCTTAGTGACCATTTTCCTGTCTCCAACATGTGCTCCTTCCATAACATCTTTGTGCTTGCTCCTCCCTCTTCCAGGTATTTGCTCCCTGAGATTGTTATACTCTGGTTCCTTCTCATTATTCAGGGCTCAGATACTAGCTTCCTGGAGACTTTCCTTGGTGGAGTGTTCCGCCCCACCCAACACTTTCCCATTGCCCCATAGAACCTAGCTCCACCTCACCCAGATATTATCTCTTCATGTGTCAGTGGTATGCCT